CATAGTATATTCTAAACTTACCTGAAGATGGACAGATTAAGCCCTGTCCGTAACGATCGCCGTAAGTAGCTTAAAATAGTCTTGTGAACACACCCTCTCCCTCACCCTTAGTTATTCGAAATTTGTTAAAACCAATTCTGATGACTCAAACATTTGATAAATCCTATTTTTAATTTGAATCAGTATTAGAAGCAGATTTACCATACCAATTAAGAATATCGGTAAGAATAATCATACTCATTTGAAGTTTCAACTTAAAACAATTTTCCACCCACCAGTATTATTTTTGTATTGCCAACAGTTCAAATACTAATCCTACTTGAATAAACTGGGATTTTCTCCATATATTTCCGTTTCCGATTCTGAATATTCTTTTCGCTTTTCCGACTTTATATTTTTCATTCTACCCCGTTCATCTGATTTTGTAAAATTCTTCATTGTAATGCAGTGCCCTGAAGAGTGTTTCAGATTTTCAAATAAACATGAAACGCGTCGGCAAATAAGGGTGAGGGTGAATTTTATGTATTTACCTGATTAATGCCCAAGTTTATTTTTTCTTAGGTATCTAACGTTGCCTTTAGCATGTTAACATTGACAGGCATAGAGAAAAAATGAAAACTTTGTGTATAAAAAAATAAGAAGCAATAAGAAAAAAGAAGCTTCAAAGTCGAAGCGAAGAAAGTAAAATGGTATTGCAAAAGTCTATTGGTATGAAAAGTTCTTTGATTGAGTAAAAATGTATCTGACACATTTCTCGCCATCAATTCATGGCGTTGGTGCTGCGAAGGCGTGTAGAAGAAAAAAAATATCTCGGTTATGTGTTTGCATTTTTGGTTACGTAACAGAATATCCCTATGGATGCGTAATTTTTGATCGTTGTTTTTATCATACAATTAGGGCTCACGTATCTTTATAGCTATTTCATTTTTTTAAAAGCGTTCTCTGTTTCACGATGTGATCATTTTGCTTAGCTGCATTTGAAGGCGAATCACAATGCCTAAGAAACAGTGTATAAAATGCAAAAAGTGGAATGCAACTAACATTTCTTCGGAGGGAGCCGCTTGGTGTCATTTGTATTTGGAACCGGAAGGCTATGTATTAGATTGTGAGAAAGATGTTTATATGTGCCAAATGTCGTTGGGGCTCAGCACCCAAACAACATGAAGTACAGGCCGCAGAAACACAGATGCAAGGAGAAAAACAATAAATGCGAGATCAGGAAATCGACACTGCGGAGAAGAGTGAAAATTAAACACTTACGCTGCAAAATATTAGTTTTTGAGGCTCCAATTGGAGCTGGATGTGTCCTAATGCCGAAAACCGCACGGTTGTGTCTTTTAGTTTTTAAACGAAGATATGCACCTCATGGCTTACGTCTGAACGGTGCAGTTTTAAACACGCGAATACTGTAATGCTTTGAATATTACGTAGAAGCATCTCAATTAATTTTAGTATCCAATATACAGTTTGGTAGAGGGTAGAGAATTGAATTCTTCTTTATTTGTTTCTTGAAAATTCTGTTCTGTTGCGGAAAAAAGCTTAGCTCGGTTAAGTATGCTTCAATACCAGTCAGCTCTTGTGATTACTGGAGCTATGAAGGGTGCGTCTAAGGAAAAAGTCTTAGCTGACTTAGGATGGCTACCGATCCACACTATCTTTCAACGACACAGACTACATTTTTTTCATAAGATTATTCGTGGTCTGAGCCCTATATTCCTTAGAAATTTGATAACTGACAATCAAACTCTAAACCCATATAACACAAGGTCTGTTAGCCAACAAAAGTTGCCAGTTGACTTACGTGCACTTGACGCATTCGTGTCTGAATTTCGTACTTTTGCATTTTAGATAGTAGTTCTGTTTGGGTCGTTACATATTTGTATGGTACTTATTAGTGTAGAAAAAAGGGGGATCTTGTGCTTATGCTTGAGGAGTGGATATTCAGATATTCAGAGAAGAATAGTATTTAGTAGAAGAACATAAATATGGTGGATGCGCCGATATTCAGATATTCAGAGAAGAATAGTATTTAGTAGAAGAACATAAATATGGTGGATATGGTGGATGCGCCGATATTCAGATTTTCAGATATTCAGAGAAGAATAGTAGTTACTAGAAGAACGTAAATGTCGTGGGTATGGTTGATGGATCGAATTTCAGATATCAACAAAGTGATTCTAGATAATATGAATACGAGCATTCTGAAGGATGATGGAATCCTTGTGTGCTCAGCTATTAAGCTATTAAGTTTTTCTCGTTATATTCAGAGAAAAATAGTAGTTACTAGGAAAAGAAAGAAAAATTTGTGAACTGTGCAGTTTTTTTGGGTGTTCGGTGTTCTTGTTTTTGTTTGAGAAGCCTGTAGTGAAGCGATGTATGTGTTTGTTACATTGTGACTCGTTCCTTCATTTTGTAGTAGTAGTGGTGTCGTACACTGTGTATGTCGTATTGTATGGTACGGCCATTACGTACAGAAGAGACAGAGAGTGAAATGAGAGAAATAAGTGTTTACACGACGAAAAGTTGACTGCACAAAGGTATCTATACTGGACTATAGTTTTATTATTAAAAAATATTATGTACTTCTCGCTTGTTTTGTTGTATATTCGTCCGTCTGTCTCAAATTGTGCGTAGTGGCAATATAGGCCTATATAAAGAAATTTCTGTCTAATGTAAAAACACAGAAGACGAGAAGCTGTGTGTTTCATTGTAGTTTGAAGTAGTTAAATAGAAGACTAGTGTCGTATTGCATCATAGTTTTTATACTTTCAAAAGTGCTGCGATATTTATAGCTGATTATAAAGAGGTAAGTTGCGTTGTGTATGTATGAATCACAGTACCGTTGCATAGCTTACTTAAAAGGCGATATCAGTAAACATGTTCGCTGATTCTCTCAGTAGATATTTTGCTGTGCAGGAGTGCGATTTTTGGTATTACTTGTAGGTCTAAGTTATGAATCGAAAGATATATTCTATGTGTCTTGAGGAGGCAAGTGAAAAGTTTTCTCGGAATATGGGAAAATGTTTGGTCTATTCAAGTAATTTGAGTTTTGAATCCGTTGTACCAGATAAAAGTTCAATATGTGCATTCGTGAAGAGCAATGTTGGCGATGGAAAAGATCGTTTGAATCCATGTATTCTGCTGAGCTGTGTTCTTACAGTGCTGCCTCATTATGGATGCCAATCTAAATTTCTTGTTGGAGAGAATTATCAAACGAGCAATTTGTACACAATTTTAATGGGTGCAAGCGGTGGGTCTATCTGGTGTTGTTACATGTTTATAGGCTTCCTCTTTATGGGTTGTAGGTGTTGGGAAATCTCAGTATATTGATGCGGTTGATAGCGCTGCAAACAAGGTTTCAAATACGCTTCAAATGATACGTCGATCTGGTGGCTTGGATTTTAATGTACCGAGTCAGGTGACGATGAGTGATAGCAGTCTCTATCCGTCTAAATTGAAAAAGAAGAATGATAGTGCCAATGATAATGCCTGTAGAAGCGTATCGAAACCGTTGAAACCGGAGCAAGTGTTCACTCATGCAGCGCTTATGATTGCTCTTGGTGAGCGTTCGCTGTTATTGATCAGTCATGAGGGTGGTAAGTGTTGGGATCACACTGGTATCTAGATATAGGTTGTTGTGGTTTTAGAATCTTGCATGAAAGAAATCGAATTTTTCAATTTCACGAACACAAAAGGCGATGGACCTCATGGAACGATGATACAGGGATTCGACGGTTTCAAAGATTATTCAAAAGAGACCAAAAACTATAATGTGGCTATCGAGAATAAAATCATCACGGTGCTCGTCGCTTCTACAGGGAAAAAGTGGAATGAGTTGCTGCAATATTATAATTCGAATACAGCTGCCGGAGGCTTTTACGAACGTTTTATGGTGGTTGTCGTTGATGATGCGGTGCGTCGTGAGCGTTTTCAGGCGTTGGAGTCGCTGGAGGACATGAATACGAGCCTTATGGAAAAGTTTCTGGCTGAGGGCGTTGTGAAGAGAGCTGATGAAAAGCAATTTTCAATAGCTCAGTTGTTTATGGTTCGTTACTGTCTTGGTTTTCGATACTATAAAAAATCAATGGAGGCGTACATATTGCTTGGACAAATATCCGAATGAATGAGGCACAATGAAGATAAATGGTAACTGTATACGGGAAATTTGGAGATCCAGACGGAACAACAAAAAGCGATTGAACGCAGGGGGGGTCAGATCCTAGATCGATTGGCAGTTGATGTCCAACAGATGATGGATTGTGTTGCTGTGTAGGGTCGAATGGATGTTCGACGGTCAAGTGAAATTGATTGTAACTTTGTTCTTGGTACTAGACTAGCATGTGAGAAGCTGTTTGGTTCGTCAGTTCCCGAAGCTCTGGCTAAACGAAATGTTGATGTAGCTTCTCACCTAATAGTGACGGCAGAGGCTGCGCAAATAGCGGTGAATTTGTACGTGAAATTAATTTTTCCACAAACAATTACAATGTTTGACTATTTGTCGGAGAAACCGTCGGATCTCATTTTCCCCGGATGAGATTATACGTGCAAGAAAGGTTTTATTATTGCCATATTTGTTCTTTCCATTGTCTAGCCTGAATCAAAACGGTTGTATGCTGAAAAACGTTTCAAGCGAAAGTGGTAAGCGTTTGTTTTACTGATTGCACGAGTAGCGTCTGTCAGAATTCTGATTGTTTTCTCATAAATGAACCTTTATTCTACATTAAGCCTGGTAGATTATAAGGATTATTGTTTAGTTGAAAAGATTCTGAAAAAACTGGTGTTTCATGGTGTACTTATGGGTTCTTGCGGCGATTACAAGTATTTTAAACATCTAACGCAAAACAAATTGGGCATGACTTATTTGAAAGTGTTACCAGCTCCCAGTGCGATCGCTGAGTTCAAACAAAAATTGAGTGTGTTGTTGGCTGTTGCTTATGATGACTATATTGAATGTTTGCGAAAAACCGAGCTGAAAGATGACAAATATGTCCTAACGGTTGCTGATGTTCGTGCTGTTTTGGGAGAACAGTATATAAAGATTTGGCCAAGGATAATTGAGATAGCAACGGCGCTAGGAGTGAAACTGAGCTTAGGTAAGCTTTCACGGTTAAAGTAATGTAGCCTATTGTGCATTTGTTTAGAACAAAATGTGGCACAGATAATTGACAAGAAAGATGGTGAAATTGGTGGTGATGAACGCTCCCGTTATAAGGACAATGCTAGTCAGAAGAAAAAAGGATGGAATAGTGGTAGGATTGCTTTGATGTGTATGCTATATGGATAGAATATCGAGTTTGCTTAGTCGAAGCTGATAATGTGGTACAAACCATTGATGCTGTAATTGATGTTGATGAGAATCTGGCATTAATTGAAGAAAAAGCAGGTTATAGAACAGCCGAAGGTAAGTTGATATTTTAGTTCTGAAATCCGATGATATTAAGTTGTATCGTTTAGCGAATGAACAGCGCACTTTAGAAAATGAATTGGAAATACGCAATGAGATGATTGACAAAATGTGTATTGAAATGGAAAATATATCCTGGAGCTTTGGCGAAATAGATTTGTGCAAGGAAATACTAGAATTGCGGACAGTTATAGTTACACGTTCCTTGTTGATGCAGAATAATATGCGTCAGGCAGTTAACAATGGTGTGGCTCTTGACTGTTTGAAACAATGTGGTTTGCTGGTTGCTGGTCGGTTTGTTAGAGGAAAGCCAGGCGAGGAAGGAATGGCGTTCATTAAATGTTTGCCATCGTCAAGTGATCCTCTTGACGTCGAGTTGTTTCAAGCTCGGCTATTGCCTTTTCGCTGGATTTGCGTTGTTAGAATCGGTACAATATTCTTGTTTAAAATTACCATTGAATGATTATAAACCGAAGATGAGAGGTAGATTCTTATACTTTTTTTCTTAATTGAAATCCTTTCTTGTTTAGGTATCGGCGATGGTTTGAATTTGAAGAATAAAAGAAGCGGTGCGGATGTATTCGCATTCGAAGATTCAAATTGTGGAGTGGATGACACCCCCCTGTTCGCAAGACTTTTACGAAAGCGGAAAAAAGATGATCAGATGGATCACATCGAGGATGCACAACAGTTATATCCAGAAAATTATTAGTTATCTGAGATTTTTCTTGTTTGTTAAAAGGTTAAATTCATGTTTTTGATATGTTATGCTTTTTTGTTACTACGTTGGTACATGAATGAAAGAAAGTCGATCACACGATCATAAAAAAGAGAATGTAGAAAGAGAAAAGGTGGAGTTAAAAGTAATTTAAGAGGCCGGTTGTAGACCTTCGTAATCCAGTCTTTCGTTTTCTGTTATGTGTGTTTTTTTGTAGATAAAATGAATCGTTCGCCATTAGCCGTATCTAAGATCCTTGAACAGCGTCATTTAGTTTCACTTAACGATAAGCAAATGGATTTGCTCATGACATTAAACAGATTCAGTTTACGCGAACTTGCTTTTTTGTATGCGATTGACAAGCAAGTGCCGGAAGTTGTTGATGGAAGGTGGGAGGTTGTATTTGAGATGTTCTCAACATTCTGTGATGGAAAAGTGGACAGCAGATTAAACGTTTTTCGGCTTGAATGTTTGGTGAAAAAGTTGAATGCAAATGGGTATTTACAATTACTTGATATAGCTAGTTTGAACTCTGTTCTCGAACGTTATGTATGCAAACCACCCTTGGCGAGTGAATATCTTTTGCCGTTCACAAGTGTTTGTCTAAAATGTGATGCTCAATTGACAACTAAATTAGCAAGTGTTATTCTTTTATTCAAATTGGAAAATCGGGTTCTGGGAAATGTTTATCAATGTGAATGTCGTCGTTGCTGTATTGTGTACTACCCGAACACATATGTGAGCAATTATTGTAAATTTATCACTAATGAAAGTTTATTGTTTGGAAAAACGATATACTTTGGTGGCTGGTATGCTTATGACAGGATCTTAGTAGAGCGCGTGTCGAATGATTTCATGTACCTGCGGTGTGGTTTTGGATCGTGGGCGAAGTCGTACAACGCAACCATGGCGACGGTGGATGCAAAAAATAAGGTGACTCGCGGTGGCAAATCACTGGATGCTAGAATAAACAGGATACGGATTGAAGATGCATGGATATTATATCAATTTTCTTTAATATCATTGTTCCTGAATAAAGCAAATGTTGTACAACTGCCGCTAAAAATGTAAGCTTTTCTTGTGCTTGATAAGTATTTTAGTGATGGTTTTGTAGTGAATAGGAGTCATGAGCAAATTTTGGTGTTTATGTCACGGTGTTTCAGTGATTTGCAAAAGAAATTTACTCGGTTTTGGGCATTACACAAGCACATAAAGCCCTGCAAGGACCACTGTTCTAAAAGCGTTTGTGACAGATGGTTTTCAAAAGGCAGCGAGATTTATCTGTAATAATTCTGGGAAAATATTTGTATCGAAAGATTTGGGTATGTGTTGCATTATGTTCTATTTCATGTAGTGTGGGAGAGCACAGTTTCTGCCGTTTAGTTTGCCTCATTCAAGGATAACAAGTAAAGTAATTGTTCACGCCCTCGTACTAACCCTGTCAATTTCAGGAGCTGAAACTGATTTAGATTGATTTGGAATAAATTGATTTCCATTAATTTTCACAGCAAAAATCAACTTTAATTAACTTCCATCGTAAAGCTGGAGCTCCAATAGGCTTGTTGGCGTGCAAAGCCTTATAAGGTTAAGGAAACTCAAAAAAGCAGCATTTTTTATTCTTTCGATGTTTATATGTCATTTGATAGAGCTCGTCGAGTTGTATCCAAATATATGTTTCTTAATCCTGCGAAGTTTTTTTTGAGGATCAAAATTGAAAAATTTGAGAAATTTAAAAGAGCGCAAAAATCGCGTTGTTTTCGAAAATTAGCCGGTATCTTTGGAGCATGAAGTGACGAAGGTTTTGAATCTTTAATCATGTCACAAAGGGACTTGGAAAAAGTGTGTTTGAATAAAATGCGAATTACTTGCGCAGTTTGAAGTTTAGTTATTACGGTAAAAATCCCACTTCTCTTCGCGCCAATTGCTTAAAGTCGTTTTAAAAAAGAGATGGAGCCAACATTTCGATCGTTGTGATCGTCAGATGGGGAGGGAAAAGGTTACGTAGCCGTTTTATGAAATTCGTGAGACAATGCAGTTTTTCTAGACCCTCTTCTTTTTGCACAAAATCGGACGCCTGATCTGCGAATAAAACAGTCAGTTTTATTCACATTTTATGAAAATCTGGTTTTACGCGTAAAAATGATGGTGAACGTTTTCAAAAACCATTCTTTTCCAAAAATGATCTGAATCGATAGAGAATTGAATTCTCAAGAAAGTTCCTCAACCTTACTAAAAATAGCACCTTAATTGATATAGCAGAAGAAATTAGTTTGAATATGTTGACTAAATTAACTTAAAATCGTTTAAACGCAATTATTTGAAATGAAATTCGACTTCTGAAATTAATGTGACTTTTTTGATTAACTTAAGGTGCTGTACAACTGGGTTGCGGCGATCGCCCCACGAATGGAAGGAAAAAACGTTCGTTCGAAGAACTTGAGAGAGAAGATGATATGAATGGGAACAAGGAGGAAGGGGGTTTTCTATGTGCGGAATGTATCGGTAACAGACAGGAGTGGATTGAGGAAAGTTTTAGCAACGATGTATGTAACGTTACACGTAATCCTCGATTTCGGAATGGGAATTGTGTATCGTTTGGTGTCATCGTATCCATGTATAATTGTGAAATCGTCGTTGACTTTATGGAGATATACCTATCCGAACAAGTGTTTGTAACATTGTTACACCGGCTAGAATTTCATTTCAATTTCTTCCAGACGCAATTATTTGCTATGAAATTAGTCGAATTTACAGAAGTTTCTCTAGCATCGGTTGGGCAGGGTCCCAAAAGGATGAACTGTGCTTCTCTCTGCTCTGTGGCTACCATTTTTGAGGCGAAGTTTCACGTTTTTGGCGAGGAGCACTGCTGATAGGGATTTTATGAGACATCCGGGTGGTGATATGTGTATATAGAAGCCTACTCTCAAATCTGAAACGGCCCAGCTCACTAATCGCTGGGCCAGTACTTCGAATCTGTGTGTATCGTTTAGTGTTGTGCTCATATGGGAATACGAATTGGTGGTGCACATCAGCAAGTTGAGGAAACGTTGAATCAAGCATCAAAATTATTTGCGAAATTGAGTGAAAAAAATGCTAAAAAGAATCCTACGGGGGAAATACCGAAAACTGATCAACAGCAACAGGAACTCGTACAAGAACAACACAACATGAATATAAGCGGGGACGAATGCGGCTAACTGCAATATTTCTATTGGTGCCAACTAACGGACGCTAAAACATATACTCAGCTTAGCTTGTTGCAGTTTTTATAAATATATCAAAATAAATGTGGGCTTAGTTTAGCAAATGCTTGACAGGAATGTTATCCATAGGGTATTTGGAAAATGCGTCACAGTTACTGCTTTCTTTTGGAAGTCGATATTTAATTTCGTCGCTATTCAAGTTTCGTAACTCCATAGACCAACGTGCTGGACGGCTCGGGATCTTTTACTTCACGAACCCATGTGTGGGCTTTACAACCAGATCGAATGGATAAATGTTTACCCTCAATGTAGGATGAAAATGTTGTGTAGCCCACACGATTCCTAACGTTTCCCTTTCGCATGGCCTACATCTTTTTCAGCCGCGGGTAGAGTGCGATTAGCATATGCATAATAAGTTTTTACCCTCATATTCTTGTACGAGTACAGTTTCCAGTCCCTGACTGAGGCATCCATATCAATGATAAAAGGATAGTGAAAGTCAGAAGGAGTCGAAACTGGCCCTTGCAAGAGATAATCTTTCAAAATCTGGACGACTTCTGTACAGGTATCATCCCAAGATAGATGATGTTTTTTATTATTACGAAGTTGCTTTAATAAGGATTTATGAACGTTGGCATACCCTCTTGACTTAAACTTCCGGTAATAGCCAGTTAGTCCATGAAAGAGCTGAAGATGTTTGATGGTAGTGGATAGTGGAAAATTTTAGACGGCTGAGATTAACGATGGATCTTGATTTATTCTGATGTGATCATATGTCCCAGATACTTTAACTCCTCCATACAAAATAAATACTTGGATGCCTTCAGTGTCAGACCTGCATCCTGGATCGATGGAAACCTTCTCTTAGATCTTACAAATACTGCTCGAACGTAGGGGAGAAAATGATAATGTCGTCTACAATCAACATTATATATCAATATACTCGTTGCGATCTGTTTTTTCTTGTGACACCATAATGTGCCATACATTGCATAATTAGGTTGATCAGTGGGGTTTAGTTCGAAAAACTAAAAAATATCAACTCTGTGCAAAAATAAAGTCAGTTA